CCCTTTTTCTGGCTAAAAGAAATTGCTTAGATAACTATACGGGAAAGGGTTTTAAATTTGCTTTGGGCTTTGTTTTGCTTTTCCCCGTGAAAGGGTTTTAATTTTTTTATCTCTGTCTTTTCTAATCAGGACGACAAAAACATAGTGCCCAAAACCCAAGAATTTTGGGGAAAAAAAACACCCTTATCAACCCAAAGGGCAGCACACCATAAAGGCAGCAGCAGCATTTGGGAGAATTTCCCAAGAACCAAAACCAACATGAAGCTCCCCCGGGTGTTCTCTGTATCATGGATGCCCAAACTTCCCAGTCCCCTCCCAGCTCAGAGTGCTTCTGGATATTTTTCTATATTTACTCATGGGTAATTTTTTTTTAACCTTAAAAGTGAAATTTAAAATCGTTTTAAATTCATTCCCCATGTAATAGATACTTGTAACTTTTTTTTTAAATGTAAAACGGTAATAAAAATGACAGTTGATAAACCGGACCATGTGGCAACCCCTTCTTTGTACCATTTTATCTACAAGATGATAATTATTTTAAAAGAATTTGTATTTTTAGTTATTAATATGTTTTCACACCAACACTACCCATAAAGGTAGCAGTCAAGTGGAAGTCTTTTGTCCCAAAGCCCTGTTTTGTGGTGTTGCGCTCAGAGGGGAAATATAAACATTCATCTTGATGCCTGTTTCGACCATTGGGGAAGGAATGTTTTTAGAAGTGTTATTTTGCTAAAAATTTAAGTTCTTTTTTTGGTTTAAAAAGGGGTTGGAAAAAATTATGGGAGTGGGATCAGAGGGAGTCCAAGAGTCAAAAGATTTCTTCAGAAAAAAAAAGAAAAAAAAAAAAATTGGTCAGAAAAAGGCCAAATGGGGTGGGGGAAAAAGATTTTGTATGGTTGGATGAACAGCCCCTTTAAATTCTGAAGTTTACGATGAAGTTGGGGAGTGGAAAAGGGGCTTTTCTAAGATGAAAGTGAATTGAATTTTTTGTATTTAAAAAAGGGGAAAAGGGGGGAAACTAAAATTTGTGAAAATTTAAAAATTATACAGTAATGCCCAAAAAAAAAAAAAGGGTTTTTTGAGTTAGTTAGGTTCATGCAGAAAGAATCAAAACAAAAAAATTGATAAAATTTTTGGGAACATCTGAAAGCATGCTGGGGTTTTTTGTAATACTTCTTATATTGTTATTTCTGTAAATTTTTATTTTTCCCAGGTAGTAGGTTGGTAAAACACAACCGCCCAGGGAGGGGACACCGTCCTGCCAAAGGGTGTAAAACGGGAAAGGGCCCGTATTGTTTTAAAATGATGGTAAAGGGTTGCTGGTGTTTTTTTCCCGTCTCATAAACATGTAAGATTTTAGGTTTCTCTTGTTACTTCTACTTACCTTTGTACATGTAAAGTATAGGGGACCTAACATATATATATAACACCCACCTGGGTTTTCTTCTATTTTCCCTTTTTAGTTTTGTTCTTGTTTATTCCCCCTTACCCCCCATGGGGGAAATGGGAAAAAATTCTTCCTCCGTAAACCATGGGAGTTGTAAAGGGGCGACCCAAAATGCCGGGAGTAAGGGGGGGAGTAAACCCCCTTCTCCCGTAATATTACTAAATGTAAAAGGAGAAACTTTCTTTTTTTCCTTTTTTCCCCCCCTCCTCGGGGGGAAAACGGCTGGTGGTTTTAAAAGGAAAAAAGGGAAAGGGAAATTTTTTTTTTACTATTATTCATATTTTTTTTTATTTTTTTTAGCAAATTTTTTGGGGATTATAAAGGTTTCCTTTTTTAAAACCCTTTTTAAATTTTGTATACATCTTGGGTAAAGTAAAAACTTTTAACCCCTAAACGGGCCAAAGTTAAAATTTTAAAGTTTTTTTAAAATTTGAAAAATATGTAAAAAAAGTAACCTTTTTTTTTTTTTTTTACATTTGAAAAAAGTTTTAAAAAAAACTTTAAACAAATCTTTTTTTTTTTTTTATTTGAAAATATGTAAAAAAAGTAATCTACTTTTGGGGGCCTGCACATGTGAAAGTAAACTGCTTGGACCATTTTCCCCGGGTTTTAATTTTAAAGTCGTTTTTTTATTTTGGGGAAGGGAAAAATTTCAAAAATTAAAAAAAATCATTTAGCACTCTTTAAAGTGGGAAAAAAAACGTGGTCCCTCCAGAACACAGCCAAAAAAAAAAAATTTCCTTTTAAAAAAATAAATAAAAGAATACCCTGTTAAAAATTTACTATCCAATTTAAAAATGCCCCTCAAATCAATCCACCCAACCCTTTTTTCTTTTAAAAAATTACTGGAAAATCTCTCAGACACCCAGGAAAAAAAACCAAAAACAGGGCTGGGGTGGCCCACCAGAGACAAAAACAGGCAGACAGAAAGACAGATAAAACGAGCTAACAAATTTGACGACAAAACATTTCTTTTTTGGGTAAACAGTGAAAACAAATAAAACCGGGGTTTCCCCGGGGCGATGCACAAAATCAAAGTGGCACTTTCACCGCTGCAAAACCCTCAGCAATGGAGTGAAAAATCGTCTTAAAGTAATAATACACCAAAGCTTTAAGGGGTTTTTAATACACTCCGCAAAGTCCCAAAACATTCCTGGGACCTATAAAAACTTTTTTATATATTTCTAGACAATAGTAAATGACCCCCGGCAGGTGAAAATGTTCACCTTCAAATGTGGGTTTTTGACTTTTTGGTTCTATTTTTAGTACCCAATATTAATTTTCAGAAAAAAAAATTGGCTGTGGGAAAACAAAAAAAACTTTATAAATTGGGAATAAACAGAACATAAAAAAAGGAAAAACAAATATAAATGTAATAAATTAAAATAAAAATGAGAAAAAAGGTAATTGGCAACCCCTTCTTTTAAGGGCCAGGTTCCATTTGCTGTCAAAGGGGGCATCCAGTGACATCTTAAATTTTTTTTTTGGGGCTTATACCCCCAAAAAAAAAAAAAATTCAAAAATTCGGGAAAACTGGGGAAAAAGTTTGATTTTACTTTTGGACAGCTTAAGGGTTTAAAAAAAAAAGAGGGGAAAAAGGGATATTTGGGAACAAATTTTTGCAAGGGGGGGCATGCTTCATGTTGCCCCGGGTTTAAACGAAAAAAGCGCCGACTTTTTGGCCTTATATCTCCCTAACTACTGACTCTAAAATTTTATTTTTTTTTAGGTTATTACACGTAAAAAAATGTCCTTTTGATTAAAAAAATTTCTTTTTTCACAATATTCGGAGCACTGAGCGAGAGAACATAGATTTACGCTTGGACAGTTAAGGGGTTAAAACATGACTAGAATCTAAAGCAAGATGATAATGTAAGTAGCAAAGCTAGAGTTAACTCTTTCAGGGTTTCCAACGTACTAGTACGTCTTACGACCCAGGGTTATTGACATACTAGTATGCATAAATTCTAGTGTCTTCAAATCAAGGAGGAAAAGGCTGGTAGTCCTAGATGTGAGAGAATGGGTCTCCATGGTCAGTGTGCGCAGTACAAAAAAAATCGGGGACCCAGTGGTGCATTGTGGAAAAGCCATTTTATTACACTTTGTTCACTATGTCTAGCGCTAAGAAACTCCTCACTCCTCAGCTAATTGGGGCTCTTTTGTTCCCAAGTGACAGTTCAAACACAGATGGAAGTGTCAGTGAAGATGAATTTCATGGTTTTGAGGAGTTTGTGGCTGAAAGCAATGCCCAGGAAACCTGAAGGAAGGAAGGTAGGAACAAAGGAAGGAAGAAAGAAAGGAAGGAAGGAAGAGATGAGAGGAAGGAAGGAAGGAAACCATCAACCTAAGATAACCCAAAAAATTCAGGCAGTGACTTACGTATTTCCATGTGGGTTGGTGCGGTGAAGAGGAAGTTGACAGGCAGTGAGGGTGGTGAGTGATGGTGTTGTCACTGTGACACTAATTACGCTAGTAACTCAGCATATTTACAAGTCCACCCCCACACAACAACTACGAGCTTTACAGAAGCTGTAGCAGTCCTGGGAAGTGTCCAGCGACTTTGTATGTGTATATATGTGATAGAAAAATAGTAATAAACAACATTTTTTATTGTTGGTTTGTGTAAACATGTTCTGTAAACAATATAATGACTTTGTTTGGTTATTGTGTAGCATACAACTAGTGAATATACATTCAGTATACCTTATATTGGTCTCACAGGCCATAAAATTACTTAAATGAAGAAAGAAAGGAAGGAAGGAGGGAAGGTAGGTAGGTAGGAAGAGATGAGAGGAAGGAAGGTAGATAGGGAGAGATGAGAGGATGGAAGGAAGAAAAGAAAGAAGGTAGGTAGGTTTGTGGGGAGGAAGGGATGCGTTGTGTAAGGCAGTGAGTGTTAGTAAGTGGTGGTATGATGCATCATTGTGACACAAGACACACCGGTAACTCAGCATATTTACTAGTCAACCCCAACATTACTACAAGCTTTCAGAACCTCTTTTAGTTATAGGAATCTGTCCAGTGACTCTATATATATATGATAGAAAAATAGTAATAAACAATATATATCATTGTTGGTTTTCTAGGTAGTAAGTTGGTAGACAGCAACCGCCCAGGGAGGTACTACCGTCCTGCCAAGTGAGTGCAAAACGGAAGCTTGTAATTGTTTTACATGATGGCAGGATTGCTGGTGTCTTTTTTTTCTGTCTCATACACATGCAAAATTTCAGGTACGTCTTGCTACTATACTTACACTTAGGTCACACTACACATACATGTACAAGCATATATATACTCACCCCTCTGGGTTTTCTTCTATTTCCTTTCTAGTTATTGTTCTTGTTTATTTCCTCTTACCTCCATGGGGAAGTGGAACAGAATTCTTCCTCCGTAAGCCATGCGTGTTGTAAGAGGCGACTAAAATGCCAGGAGCAAGGGGCTAGTAACCCCTTCTCCTGTATATATTACTAAATGTAAAAGGAGAAACTTTTGTTTTTCCTTTTGGGCCACCCTGCCTCAGTGGGATATGGCCGGTGTGTTGAAAGAAAGATCATTGTTGGTTTGTGTAAACATGTTTTGTAAAGAATATAATGACAGCAAAGTTTGTGCTGTTATTGTGTAGTATACAATGAGTGAATATATACCAAATAGATTTTATATTGGTCTCAGAGGCCATAAAAGTTACTTGAAAAAATAAAATATTAAAAACTAAAAGAAAAAGTAGAAAAAACAAAATAAACTATTACTGGGTGACCGGCAGTCGGCAATGTTGCCATATGCGGTTCAATTTCTGTCAACTTCACGCCTCCATATCTCCATGAGTATTCATCGCAAATTTTTCTTTTTTTTGCCTATAATACTCACACACACACAAAAAAACTATCATTTCATAAGAAAAAATAATTGCTTTTTCAAATATTTTTTGACCCTGAGAACAAGTTTGGGAGAGGGCCTGTCGACCCTGACAGGGTTGAAACAAAATATTGATACATTTTACAATACTATGTTCTGTATAGCATTCTGTATAGCAGACACTTGAAATACATTTTGAAAGATTTGGTAAACATTCTGAACAAGCATCAGAGAGCAAACTACAGAATTATGTCAAATACTGATAAAAATTTTAAGGAAAAATATTTAAGTCTAAAATATACATATTATATATAAATATATTGTAAAGAATAATATGTTTAGAAGTATACTTATACCAGAGATAAAAGTATGAAGGAGTTTATGAAATATTGTTAAAAAAGGTAAAATTGAGAAAGTTGAATTACTCTCGTAGTTTTCCTCTTCCTTGTTCTATATAATCAAGTACCAGCCTACTCAACTGGGCTCTCAATCCAAAGGAATATCCTTCTTGCAAGGAACAGAACTGGTGATTTCTCCCACTTTGATTCTTTGTCTTTTTACCACATTCAATGTTCTGATAAACTAACTTTAGACTTGGCTCTGCTGCCCGTAAAACATGGAGGTTGGATGCATGAAGAAATAGTCCATAGATGCCATAGTCGTACTCTTCTGGCTGGTCTCGCTTGAGATCCTTCTCATTTCTTATGAGAGGAATAGTTTCAACCACTGACTTTCTTGCTGCAAGACAATGATTTCAATGTATATTTTAATTCATATATAGTATTCAGGAACATTAAACAATGGTAGTGTGATATGTAACTGAGTAAAAGATTTAAATTTACTTTAAATAAACTGTTAAATTACTTTAAAATAAAACTAAAAAATAAACAGTTTTATTTATTTTAATTTGTCTTCAATTTATTATTAATTCATGTTAAGAAAAAAGTTAGTGAAGATTTTTCATATAAACTTTCCTATGTAAATTACTATATGAAACAGCATTCAAATTTAAAGATGAACACCAGACCAATTTGGTCCTCTGTACCCTTAACAAATGCCTTAAGATAGGCTGCAACTTACCTGCCATGTAATCACCAACATAGAAACTAATATGGTCAAAATTATAATTGTCAAAATGACCAACGTTTCTGTTGACTTCCAACTTGCGATATGCCTCCTGATCAGGCACAGTCTCAGGATGATATTGTGTAAATGGTATAGCAGAGAACACCTGAAGATGTAAACAGCATTCAAAATCAATTTGCTGATAAACATTCAGTCATAAAGCTAAAGCAGCTGTGCATAGCCATCACAAACAAATTCATGAATACTGTAATGGTAATTTTTTCCTTGATGAAAACTTAATGCATTATAAAGAAAGAAGACATACAAAGACAAGGTACAGTGCATGGTACAACCAAACAACAGAAGACCTTACAGTTTACAGAGAGGTTAACCACTGAGGAAAACTCATCACTGGCTAAACAAGTAAGGTCAGGATAAAACATCAAAATTCTCACTCTTCCACATTTACTGCTGGAAATAATATAGAACACTGATTTCACACTACTGTTACTATCCTTTTAGGTAAGTGTGTGGAAAGATTACCTACTTATTTATGTACAGTATACTGTATGTAACTTCAGCAATGGAGCCTTGCTCAGTGACCCATATTTGAAGTTTAAAATACTTTATTTTTAACACTCCGGCTATCTCCCCAAGGCAGGAAGACCCTAAAAAGAAGAAGACACTCTCAATGTCACTCTATCATTTAATTCTTGTAGATTGCCAGTGGTTGTTGCATTTAATATCTCTCCTTGCATTAAATTCAGCTGTTTTATCACTCTTCTTATGAAAAAACTTTCTAGTATCATTTTGGGTACTTTTTCTGTTGATAACTGTGGACTCTTTGTTTTCTGTAATGATGGTAAAGTATTTATTTTGTCGTGTTCGTTTTTATGACCTGGTAAACCCTTACGTAATTATCATCTCTTTTCATATCAGCCAAAGAGGGCTGATATGAAAAGAGATATTTTTAACCTTTCTTCCTAGCTCTCATCATTTTCATTTCTGGAAATCATTCTGTAGCTCATAACTGTACGTTTTCTAACTTGTTCACGTGCTTTTCTAACATGCAAAAATCATATCACAGCTGTATTTTTGTACACTAAAAACATTTTAAGCATTTTCTTGCATATATATCTGAAGAGTATAGTGGCACCAACACTTATATGGATGTGAAGCATGGGTTTTAAATGTTGCAGCGAGAAGACTGGAGGCAGTGGATATATTGTGTGAGAGCAATGTGTGGTTTGAATAATATGCAGAGAATTTGTTGTTTGGAGATAAGGAGGACGTGTAGAGTTTCTAAGAGCATTATCCAGAAGGCTGAGGAGGGGTAACTGAAGTCATTTGGACATTTAGAAGGGATGGAGGAAAACAGGATGACTTGGAATGTGTATAAATCTGTAGTGGGTGGAAGAAGGGTAGGAGAGGGGTAAGGAGGTTTTGTATGAAAGGGGCTTGGACATCCAACAAGCAAGTGTGAGCATAGTAGATAGGAGTGAGCGGAGGCAAGTCTTTTTTTTTATGACTTGCGTATTGTTGGAGTCCCTTTTTTTTTCTGTCTCATAAACATGCAAGATTTCAGGTACGTCTTGCTACTTCTACTTACACTTAGGTCATACTACACATACATGTACAAGCATATACATGCACTCACCCCTCTGGGTTTTCTGCTATTTTCTTTCTAGTTCTTGTTCTTTGTTTTTCTTTTTCGGGCCACCCTGCCTTAGTGGGAATCGGCCGGTGTGCTAATAATAATAAAAAAATTCTTGTTCTAGTTTATTTCCTCTTATCTCCATGGGGAAGTGGAACAGAATTCTTCCTCCGTAAGCCATGCGTGTTGTAAGAGGCGACTAAAATGCTGGGAGCAAGGGGCTAGTAACCCCTTCTCCTGTATAAATTACTAAATTTAAAAAGAGAAACTTTTGTTTTTCTTTTTGGGCCACCCTGCCTTGGTGGGATATGGCCGGTTTGTTGAAAGAAAGAAAGAAAGAAAGAAGAAAGTATTGTTGGAGTGTGAGCAAGGTAACATTTACAAAGAGTTTCAGGGAAACCAGTCAGACCGGAGTCCTGGAGGTGGGAAGTACAGTGCCTGCACTCTGAAGGAGGGATGGGGATACTGCAGTTTGGGAATCAATGATAAAAGTGTTTCTTCTTTTTCCTGCCACCCTGCCTTGGTATGAGACAGCCAGTGTGTTAAAAAAAAAAAGAGCACACTCACTGTCACTCTACCTAGCTGTTTCCAGAAGTGCCTAAACTTCATGACAGACAATGAGTTGCAGCATCCAAATCTATATTTTAACAATAAGTTATTTTGTTTTATCTAAAACTAAAGTTAAAACTAAGTTATTTTATTTTTCTAAAACTAAAGTTTTAGAAAAATCATAACATATATATGATATGATTTTTCTAAAACTTTAGTGATACATGCATATCATGTAGTGAATTAGGAGCGTACAAATTAAATGATGCAGATTGACCGAGGGTATAATTCAGAACGTTAAGGTCTTATTTTGGTTTATCTTCAAACAAATCAATAAATTTTTCCTCAATGTTGGATCTGATGCCAACCATCTGCTTAAGTTCAGTTTATTACTTTGAACTTTAATTTAAATACTGAATTTAAGAGTTTTGTTTGAACTTACCTGCCAATTCAAGATGGTATTCATTCTGACACGATTCAAAAAATCATTGCTAACATGGGAAGAATGCCTAGTAATAAGAAGCAATGTGTCATCTTGCAACTTTTTAACCACCAAATCAAATACAGCAAATTCGGAGGGCTGGTAACCAAGGGTGTGAATTGTGATCCAGCCAACTTTTGAGCCAGCATCATGATGCTCTCTGGTATACTTAAGTGCCAGATCTTTCAAAGGCTGAAAAGATTAAACAGATATCTACAATGGTACAGAGTATAATGTTCATACTTAAGCCACTGAATTTTCATGATGATAGAAATTCAGTTACAAAGATAATTTTAAAAATATAATCAAATAAGAAATCTAGGAATATCATTGTTTGAATGGTGTATGGTGATTAAAAAACATGAATGAAAAAAGTAAAGATGAATTTAAAACTAAGACAGTAAGCATACAATAAGTTTCATAAACTACTCCATAACTAAATATCCCTATCAAAATATTATAGATACTGTATTCTGTTTACAATATTCCTTTTCTTTAAGAGAAAGATAAAAAAAAATTTAATCAGATTTTGATGAATTTTTTTGATGCATTATGGTAATGTTTCTAAATACATGTGCAGAAAATTTCATGCAAATTCGTTAAAAAAATATGAGAAACAAAATATTTTTTTTCTATTTTAGTAATTCATACAGGAAAAGGAATTATTAGCCTCTAGCCTCTTGCTCCTGGTATTTTAGTCACCTTTTATGACACACACTATTTATAGAGGAAGCCTTCTAGTCCACTTCCCCATTAAGATTAAAGCAAGCACTACGAAGAAAAGAATTATTAAAACATTACAAGGTAACTCAGATGAATGTGAATACATGTACATGTAGGACCAGAGTATGTAGAGCTAGGTGTAGGTAGTACTGTAGTAGTAGCAGCTGCAGCAAGCTGTACCTGCCATACTGGTATTTTTAAACACTTTGGCTATCTCCCACCAAGTAGGGTGATCCCGACAAAGAAGAAAGCATTTTCATTTTCATTCACTCAATCATTGTCTTGCCAGAAGCATGCTGACATTACAGTTCAGATGACCCTCCAAACTGCAACATTCCCACCCCTCCTGTGCTTCCCACTTTCAGGACTTAAGTCTAGCTAACCAGTTTCCCTGAATCCCTTCATATATTGTAGCTTCACACCTCATATTGCCCTCAAATATTACATCTCCACTACCTCCAGCCACCTCATGCTTTACACACATATAACAGTGCTGGCACCACCATGGTGCCAGCACTGTTATATGTCTTTAACTCTTTGACTGTTGCAACCCCAAATCCTGAGGTGTCTCCTGGTGTCACAAAATATTTGAAAAAAAAAAAAAATAAAAAAAAGATTTTTTCTTATGAAGTGATAGAGAATCTTTTCTCAATGGTAATGACACCAAAAGTATGAAATTTGATGGAAAACTTGTGGAATTACGCTTTCGCAAAGTTAACGACCTCGGCGATATTTACGAATCGGTGATCTCGCCCACTTTGAGCCCTATTTTTGGCTAATTCCATTGTTCCAGTCGACCAAACTAAACTATTTCATTAGAACTCCATTTGTTCTATTGATTGAGTACAAGAAACTGCCCATTTACCAATTTCAACTACCCAATAAGGTGGACAGAAATTGGCAATTTGGCCAATTTCATGCAAATTAAAAAATATGACAATTTCAAAATAGGGTCCAGAATGAACAAACCAGATATTCCTGGCTCTAAAATAACATTTTCTTTGTTCATCGGTCACATCTCTAAGCCCCTCTGATATTACTCTTTGTTTTCTATTTTGAATTTTTATTAAAAAAAAAAAATAGAAGATTTACTGTTCGGCAGACTACTGCAATACTGTAATAATTGTATAAATAATGTCAACCCATTCATGACTGCATATTAGAATGGCTAGTTGGACATTTATTGGACAATGACATCATTTGTTTACTCTTGAACATTGGCAAAAATCAAACATTTCCCCTACTTTGAGCTCCATTTCAGGGTCCTTTTCATAGTAAAACCAATCAAAATCACCTCTATTTTTATAATATGTTTTCCATTCTATCAAATGTGACAACGAAAACAAGAATATAACCATAAAAACTACACAAAACTACACCTCAAAGTCAGCGTTTTAATCCAAAAACACGGTCGGAGTTTTTTTCTCATTATGCACTGCATGCTGCAGGATTTTTTTTATACAGTGCACACTGACCACACAGACCCATTTTCTAACATGTGGGCCTACCAGTTTTCTCCTGCTTGATTTGAAGCAACTAGAATTTTTGAGTACATATACATCAAACACATTGGCTCGTAAGACATATAAATACGACGGAAACAGTCAAAGGGTTAAAGATGCCTCAATGTGCCATCCACCTGTTTCCCTTTATCAATTTTATGGTTCACCTTTTCTCTCACAGAACCATCTGCCAACAAATCCATTCCCAAATATATGAACACATTCACCTCCATACTCCCTCTCTCCAATTTGATATCCAGTCTCTCATTGCCTATATTTGTAGTAACTCTTATCACCTTACTCTCTCCTATATTCCCTTTTAATTTCCTTCTTTCACATACCCTCCCAAATTCATTTACCAAACTTGGCAACTTCTCTTGAAAATCTCCCAAAAGAATTGTCAATGTCAAAAAGCAACTGTGACAAGTCCAACTCCATACCAGATTCACCATCCTCAAAACTCTAGCACTCACTTCTTTCACAACTTATCTATAAATATGTAAAGCAACCATGGTGACATCATACATCCTAGGCCTACTTTTACTGGAAAATAATTTCCCTATCTTCTACAAACCCTAACCTGAGCCTTGCTATCCACAAAAAAACTTTTAACTGCTTTAAGTAGTCTACCACTTATTCCACACTTGTGCAACATCTGCCATACTGCTTCTCTATCATCCCTATCATATGCTTTTTGTTTGCAATCATGTCATCATGATTTTGTAAGTTGTATGCCTTTTCTAAACTTATATATGCAATGAAAGGATCCTTACTTTTATCCAAGTATTGTTTACTTAGGTGCTTCATTGTGAACACTTGGTCTACACATACCCTACCCTACCTAAAACATCCTTGTTCTTCTATAACCCTATTCTGTGTTTTACTCACTTTTGTTCAATAGTAACTCTACAATACATTTTACCCGGTATGCTCAAAGGTTTATTTCCCTATAATTCTTACTCTCTCTTTAATTTAATTCCTTTTTCTCTTAGTCAAAGACACTATGCATGCTCTGATGCCAATGCTCAGTACCTTCCTCCCTTTCATGCACATACTGAACAAATACACCAATCACTCCAACATTATATTCCCACATGCTTTTAACATTTCTGTCTTAATTCCATCAATCCCAGCTGCTTTATCCCCTTTCATTCTACCCACTGCCTCATGCACCTCCCCTACACACATTTGGCTCTTCCTCACTCCTAAAAGAGTTATACTTCACTGTCCAATGCAGGGAAGAACTCCTCAAAATATTCCATCCATCTTTCCAGTATCTCCACCTTCATTTATAATGGCTCCCTATTTTTAAATGTTAAATCCATTTGTTCCCTAAGCTTTCACAACTTACTGATCTCACTCCAAAACTTTTTCATAATCTCAGCAAAATTTGTTGATAAAACTTTTCCCACTCTTTCATTAGATCTCCTTTTGCACTCCCTCACCACTCTGTTAGCCTCTCTTTTACTCTCCATACATTCCTCTCTCCATATATCACTTCTATATTGTAAAAACCTTTCATATGAACAACTTTTTCTCCCTCACCAACGTCTTTACCTAGTCATTCCACCAATCGCTCCTCTTCCCTTCTGCATCCACCGTCCTATACCCACAAACTTCTGATATACACTAACACTGCATACTTAGGTCCCCTACAGCAATTATTTTCTCACTTGGCTCAAAACTCCCTAAACACTCACTTAACATCTCCCAAAATCTCTCTCTCCTCTCCACTCCTCTCTTCCCCAGGTGAATAAACATTTACTATTACCCACATCTCACCCTTATTTTAACCCACATAACTCAAAAATTTATGCACCTATATTCCCTCTGTTCTTTCCATAACTGAACATTTAATATAAATGCTACTCCTTTTCTATCTCTGATTCTCTCAGATACACCTGCCTTAATCTCATTTACACCTCCCCATTGAAATTCTCTTATGTCCTACCAGACTTCAAAACAATTAAAGGCTTCTTTTGGTTCACACTCATTTAGCAGGACAGCAATGCCAATCTACTACCACTTGGAAAAAGGGGTGGAGATGGTGCGGTTTGGAAGACCTTCCAAACTGTGATGTCAGCGCACCTCTGGCAAGACAGTGATTAAGCGAATGACAGAGAAAATATTTCCTCCTTTTCGGGTCACTCTACCTCAGTGCATGACAGCCGATGGGTTAGAAAATGAAAAATAAAGAAATAAATACAAAAGATCTCTGCTTTAGTTCCCTGCAGCTGCAATATGGGGCAATGTAAAACATTCCAGTTGATACATATCAATAAGATAGACTCAAATTGACTTTTTGCCATATTAAATAACAGAAAAAAATTGTAAAAATCTGTCTAAAATTCATGGTTTAAACATTTATAAACAAAAATATAAACACTAGTGCCAATGTGTGAATATAGAGATGTAAAAACAACCATTATTTATAACATACTGAGAACAAATGCATCAAAAAATCACAAAATGCAGGAGTGCCCTGACAAATGCTGTGGTTGATGGCACACTAAGCCCTGAGTGATGCTGTATGTTTCAATAAGATTGTGTTTTAATGGATGTATAGCAATAATGTCCTACATAATTTTGCCTATGTGATATCACTGATTGAATTTACTGTATTTAGCTATAAAATGACTTTATACTTGTCAGAATTAAATGAGCTAAAAAACAAAATGGTACTAACACAGGAAAATTTTGTGAGGTTGTTTCTCAGATTTATTACTTTCAAAAAATATTTTTCCCAAGTCTGGACAGTCTCTGCCCACTCTTTAATTATTAGAGATGCAAAAGAAGAATTTTCTTCTGCTAAAGTTTTAACTGAAAGTTTTCCTTATTTACCTTGAAGACATCTGCATCATCTCCAGCAGAAGATACTCCAGGTTGATAGAGAAGAGCAAGAAGCAGGAATGTGTGCTCACCACTGACCATACACTCAGCTTCATACCTGATGTGCAAATATTAAAAACTTTATTACTGGATCTTTGCATACCATTTTAATGAACTTAGATTTTAGCTACAATTTTTCTAACCACACTGACTGTCACCCATTAAAGTAGGGTGACTGTCATCCATTAAAGTAGGGTGACCCCCCCACCCCAAAAAAAGGAAGCATTCACCATCATTCATTCTACAGCTGCCTTGCCTTCTGAGATGCAATATTCCCACATCTTTCTCAGAGTGCAGGAACTGTGCTTCCCATCTCCAAGACTCATGGTGCCCTGTGGCCTGGTGGCTAAAGCACTCGCTTCACACGGTGAGGGTCTGGGCTTGATTCCTGGCGAGGATAGAAACATTGGGTGTGTTTCATTACACCGGTTGTCTAAGTTGACCCATTAGTAAAATGGGTACCTGGGTGTTAGTCGACTGGTGTGGGTTGCATCCTGGGGCAAAAACTGACCTAATTTGCCCAAAATGCTCTGCATAACAAGCGACTTTCTATATAGTAGTATGTCACTGATGTCAGCTAGTTCTGTATACCTTGTACATGTACTTGTAGAAATATTATTGCATATTCTATTATCATTAATATTATTTGGGAGTTGACTTGTCAGCAGATGAGTTTATGAAAGATGAGGTTAACCAGAGACCTGATGAAAGAAAAAAGGTGAGTGGTGCATTGAGGTATCTGTGGAGACAAAAAATTGTTATTCATGGAGGTAAAGAAGGGAATGTATGAGAGTATAGTGGTACCAACACTCTTACATGGGTGTGAAGCATGGGTTGTAAATGCTGCAGCGAGGAGGTGGCTGGAGGCAGTGGAAATTTCCTGTCTAAGAGCAATGTGTGGTGTAAATATTATGCAGAGAATTCATAGTGTGGAAAATAGGAGGAGGTGTGGAGTTACTAAAAGTATTAGTCAGAGGACTGTTGAGGTGGTTCGGTCATTTAAAGAGAATGGAACAAAGTAGATTGACTTGTAGAGTGTATAGATCTGTAGAGGAAGGCAGGCAGGCTAGGGGTCATCCCCAAAAAGGTGAGAGGGAGGGGATGAAGGAAGTTTTGTGGGCGAGGGGCTTGGACTTCCAGCAAGTGTGCGTGAACATGTTAGACAGGCATGAATAGAGACGATTTTGGGACCTGATGAACTGTTGGAGTGTGAGCAGGGTAATATTTTGTGAAGGGATTCAGGGAAACCAGTTAGCCAGACTTGAGTCCTGGAAATGGGAAGTACAATGCCTGTACTTTAAAGGAGGGGTTTGGGATACTGACAGTTTTGAGAGACATCTAAACCGTTGTATCTGAGTGCCTCTGCAAACACAGTGATTATGTACAAGTGATGGTGAAAGTTTTTTCTTTCCTTTTGGGTCACCCTGCCTCAGTGGGAAACAGCCAAGGTGTTAAGAAAAATTATTATTATTATTATTATTATTCTTTCAACAAACCGGTCGTATCCCACCGAAGCAGGGTGGCCCAATAAGAAAAACAAAAATTTCTCTTTTTAACTTTAGTAATGTATACAGAAGAAGGGGTTACTAGCCCCTTACTCCCTGCATTTGAGCTGCCTCTTACGACACGCATGGCTTAGGGAGGAAGAATTCTGTTCCACTTAAGTAAGTTTATTCAGGTATACACAAATACAGTTACATAGATTATCATACATAGCAGCATATGTGTAGAGAACCTAGGATAACCCATAAAAGTCAGATGAGATGAGAGGAAATGAACAAGAACCAGTAAGAAAGTAAAAGAAACCCCAGAGGGGTGTGTATATATATGCTTGTACATGCATGCGTAGTGTGACCTAAGGGTAAGTAGAAGTAGGAAGATGTACCTGAAATCTTGCATGTTCACGAAACAGAAAAAAAAGACACCAGCAATCCTACCATCGTGTAAAACAAGTACAGGCTTTCGTTTTACATTCCCTTGGCTGGATGGTAATACCTCCCTAGGCTGTTGCTGTCTACCAACCTACTACCTATTATTATTATTATTAATTATCTAGTTAACCTATTTTGCTTAATCCTTTAACAAATGATACCTTGCTCACAGTCCAACAGCACATCACAGCCTAAAAATCACTTGTCTCCACTCTTGGTTATCTTTTTTCAACAAACTAGCCTTATCCCACCAAGGCAGGGTGACCTTAAAAGAAAAATGAAATTTTTTTTTTAAATTTAGCAATTTATACAGGAGAAGGGGTTACTAGTCCCATGCTCCCAGCATTTTAGTTCCTCTTACGCCATGCATGGCTTATGGAGAAAGACTTCTGTTCCACTTTCCCATGGAGATAAGAAGAAATAAAGAACAAGAAATATTAAGAAAGCAGATGTGGCAGATGTATGGTGTAGGAGGTAGGTTACTGAAAGCAGTGAAGAGTTTTTACGAGGATAGTGAGTCTCAAGTTAGAGTATGTAGGAAAGAGGGAAATTATTTCCCAGTAAAAGTAGGCCTTAGACAAGGATGTGTGATGTCACCATGGTTGTTTAATATATTTATAGATGGGGTTGTAAGAGAAGTAAATGCGAGGGTCTTGGCAAGAGGCGTGGAGTTAAAAGATAAAGAATCACACATACAGTGGGAGTTGTCACAGTTGCTCTTTGCTGATGACACCGTGCTCTTGGGAGATTCTGAAGAGAAGTTGCAGAGATTGGTGGATGAATTTGGTAGGGTGTGCAAAAGAAGAAAATTAAAAGTGAATACAGGAAAGAGTAAGGTTATGAGGATAACAAAAAGATTAGGTGATGAAAGATTGGATATCAGATTGGAGGGAGAGAGTATGGAGGAGGTGAACATATTCAGATATTTGGGAGTGGACGTGTCAGCGGATGGGTCTATGAAAGATGAGGTGAATCATAGAATTGATGAGGGAAAAAGAGTGAGTGGTGCACTTAGGAGTCTGTGGAGACAAAGAACTTTGTCCTTGGAGGCAAAGAGGGGAATGTATGAGAGTATAGTTTTACCAACGCTCTTATATGGGTGCGAAGCGTGGGTGATGAAGGGTTGTTGAGGTGGTTCGGAGATGTAGAGTGAATGGAGCGAAACAGAGTGACTTCAAGAGTGTATCAGTCTGTAGTGGAAGGAAGGCGGGGTAGGGGTCGGCCTAGGAAAGGTTGGAGGGAGGGGGTAAAGGAGGTTTTGTGTGCGAGGGGCTTGGACTTCCAGCAGGCATGCGTGAGCGTGTATGATAGGAGTGAATGGAGACAAATGGTTTTTAATACTTGACGTGCTGTTGGAGTGTGAGCAAAGTAACATTTATGAAGGGATTCAGGGAAACCGGCAGGCCGGACTTGAGTCCTGGAGATGGGAAGTACAGTGCCTGCACTCTGAAGGAGGGGTGTTAATGTTGCAGTTTAAAAACTGTAGTGTAAAGCACCCTTCTGGCAAGACAGTGATGGAGTGAATGATGGTGAAAGTTTTTCTTTTTCGGGCCACCCTGCCTTGGTGGGAATCGGCCAGTGTGATAATAAAAAAAAATAATAATAATAATACATATATAATAATAATGTACTACATATAATAATTATAATAATAGACGGCTTCAAAAGGCCGTCACTAGATGGCAGTGTTTACCACAACAAAGAGGGAGAGGTTGTGACCGCCTCCACCTGTTACATAATGACACATTTTATTCATTCTAGAGTATATATCATGTTTCTATGTTATTTATATTGTTTGTTATGTCATATTATATGAACTGTGATATATAAATAAGCTTTATAGATGATATTAGCGAAATTATTCATGAAGTATTTTGCCCGGTCTCCAGACAAACTCTCGTCCACCGCTGACACCGCCCATACCACCACATGAATGACATATTTATTCATTTTATATCAGGTTTCTATGTTATTTATATTGTTTATTATGTCATATTAGATGAAGTGAGATAGATAAATAAGCTGTAGAGTTGATATTAGCGAAATTATTGAAGTACAGAATTCCACTGGAACGGATTAATTTCATTTCAGCTAATTTAAATGAGGAAAATTGACTCTGCAAACGAGCAAATCCAGTTGCGAGCAAGGTCATGGAATGGATTAAACTCACAAGTAGAGGTTCCACTGTACTTCTAATTCTATTAAGTTTCAATTCATTCCTCCTATTCCAATGTTTTTATCTTTAATTTAAATTGTTATTATAGTTTTTGTTATCTCTTACAAACTCACTTTTCCTCCCAACCTATGCACAGAACAAAGAATCATGTGGGCTGTTTATGGTGTTTCTTCGAAAATACTAAGAAATAAAAACTTATTAGGAAAATTTGATGCTATAAAATTTTTAAATATTTTTCATTACTTTATTTGTATAAAATGAAACTCAACACCTGATGAACATGCACAAGTTCTCATTTGAGTTCCTTTTAATACTGGTGGTATAGTGGTCAGCATGCTAGTCCTATGCTTATGAAGATGGTACATCAATTCACACATAATTATTCCTTTTATATTTTGTTAACCATTTAAGTGTACCTAGGAAGTAGGCTGGTATACTGCAACTTCTACTTACACTTAGGTCATGCCACACATGCATATATACATATACATACCCCTCTGGGTTTTCTACTATTTTCTTACTATTTCTTGTTTTTGTTTATTTCCTCTTATCTCCATGGGGAAGTGGAACAGAATTCTTCCTCTGTGATACATGTGTGCCTTAAGAGGAGACTAAAATGTTGGGAGCAAGGGGCTAGTAACCCCTTCTCCTGTATATATTACTAATTGTAAGAAGAAAAACTTTCATTTTTCTTCTTAGGTCATCCTTTCTCAGTGGGATATACAGTGGACCCCCGCTTTACGATCAGCTCCCAATGCGACCAATTATGTAAGTGTATTTATGTAAGTGCGTTTGTACGTGTATGTTTGGGGGTCTGAAATGGACTAATCTAATTCACAATATTCCTTATGGGAACAAATTTGTTCAGTAATGGCACCTGAACATACTTCTGGAATGAAATAATATCGTAAACCGGGGGTCCACTTTAGCCAGTAAGTTGAAAAAAAAGAAAAGTTTACGAGGGTCCACTGTAGCCAGTAAGTTGAAAAAAAAGAAAAAACTTAGTGTAATCATTCTTACCTTTTCACAAACTCTACTCCTTGCACCATGTCTGCTTGAGTGATGGGAAGTACCAAAGTGATGCGGTTATTCTCTGTGACATAAGGCATAGGTATAATTTCAGGTTCGGTGAGAGACCTGGTTGCTTCAAGTCTGTTGAATATAAAAAGTGGATTTCTGCATTAGCAAGATAACATCCAAAGTGACCCCCTAATAATAATCAATATGAACAAACATAAATGCTTTAGCTGGACAGCTAAGAGCAAATAATTTACCTATACTGCACTTCATAAGTAAAGAGAGCCTCTATCTTGCCTAGACATTATGGGCAGACTTAATTTAACCCTTTGACTGTTTTGGTCGTATATATACGTCTTACGAGGTACTGTGTTTGATGTATATATACAGTGGACCCCCGCATAACGATCACCTCCGAATGCGACCAATTATGTAAGTGTATTTATATAAGTGCGTTTGTACGTGTATGTTTGGGGTTCTGAAATGGACTAATCTACTTCACAATATTCCTTATGGGAACAAATTCGGTCAGTACTGGCACCTGAACATACTTCTGGAGTGAAAAAATATCGTTAACCGGGGGTCCACTGTACTCATAAATTCTAGTGGCTTCAAATCAAGCAGGAGAAAGCTGGTAGGCCCACATGTGAGAGAATAAGTCTGTGTGGTCAGTGTGCACCATAAAAAAAATCCTGGAGCATGCAGTGCATAATGAAAAAAAAAAAAACTCAACCGTTTTTTTTTAATTAAAATGCCGACTTTGTGGTCTATTTTCGTATAGTATTTATGGTTGTATTCTCGTTTTCTTGGTCTCGTTTGATAGAATGGAAAACATATTATAGAAATAGAAGTGATTTTGATTGGTTTTACTATGAAAAGGACCTTGAAATGGAGCTCAAAGTAGGGGAAATGTTTGATTTTTCCCGATGTTCAAGAGTAAACAAATGATGCCATTGTCCAATGTCCAACTAGCCATTCTAATATACAGTCATGAATGGGTTGACATTATTTATACAATTATTACAATATTGCAGTAGTCTGCATAACAGTAAAACTTCTATTTTTTGTTTGAATAAAAATTCAAAATAGAAAGAAAGAGTAATATCAGAGGGGCCTGGAGACATGACTGATGAACAAAGAAAATGTTATTTTAGAGCCAGGAATGTCTGCATTGTTCATTCTGGACCCTATTTTGAAATTGGCATATTTTTTTAGTTCGCGTGAAATTGGCCAAATTACCAATTTCTGGACCACTTATTGGGTAGTTGAAATTGGTAAATGGGCAGTTTCTTGTACTCAATTGATAGAACAAATGGAGTTCTAAAGAAACAGTTATGAGTTTGGTTGACAGGAACAATGGAATTAGCCGAAAATAGGGCTCAAAATGGGCAAAATCGCCAATTCGTAAATATTGCCGAGGTTGCTAACTTCGCGAGAGTGTAATTCCGTAAGTTTTCCATCAAATTTCGTACTTTTGGTGTCATTACCATCAGGAAAAGATTCTCTATCATTTCATAAGAATTTTTTTTTTTTTACCAATACAGTGGACCCCCGCATAGCGAACGCCTTGCATAGCGAACAATCCGCATAGCGGACGCTTTGTTCGCTAAAATTTTGCCCCGCATAGTGGACAAAAACCCGCTCAGCGGCCTTTGTCCGAGACGCGTCCAATGTGCGCCCTCAGCCAGCCTCACATGTGCCGCCCGTGCCATTGTTTACCAGCCAGCCTCCGCGGTAACATTCAAGCATACACTCGGAATATTTCGTATTATTACAGTGTTTTCGGTGCTGTTTCTGGAAAATAAGTGACCATGGGCCCCAAGAAAGCTTCTAGTGCCAACCCTACACCTCAAAGGGTAAGAATACCCATTGAAATGAAGAAAGAGATCATTGATAAGTATGAAAGTGGAGTACGTATCACCGACCTGGTCAGGTTGTACAAGAAACCAAAATCAACCATCTCTTCTATTGTGGGCTAGAAAACGGCTAGGAAGTTGCATGACGATTTAATTAAAAAAATGCCTGCAACTAGTGATGATGTGAGTGAATTTAAGGCCAGCAAAGGTTGGTTTGAGAGATTTAAGAAGCGTAGTGGCATCCATAGTGTGATACGGCATGGTGAGGCTGCCAGTTCGGACCACAAAGCGGCTGAAAAATATGTGCATGAATTCAAGGAGTACATAGAAACTGAAGGACTGAAACCTGAACAAGTGTTTAATTGTGATGAAACAGGCCTGTTCTGGAAGAAAATGCCAAGCAGGACCTACATTACTCAGGAGGAAAAGGCACTCCCAGGACATAAGCCTATGAAAGACAGGCTTACTTTGTTGATGTGTGCCAATGCTAGTGGTGATTGCAAAGTTAAGCCTTTATTAGTGTATCACTCTGAAACTCCCAGAGCGTTCAGGCAAAAGAATGTCCTCAAGGATAATTTGTGTGTGCTGTGGAGGGCAAACAGTAAGGCATGGGTCACTAGGGAATTTTTCTATAACTGGTTACACCATGCATTTGCCCCCAATGTGAAAGATTACCTAACTGAAAAGAAATTAGACCTTAAGTGCCTCCTGGTGTTAGACAATGCCCCTGGTCATCCTACAGACGTGGCAGAGCGACTTATGGGGACATGAGCTTCATTAAGGTGAAGTTTTTGCCTCCTAATACCACTCCTCTCCTGCAGCCCATGGACCAGCAGGTCATTTCCAACTTCAAGAAACTGTACACAAAAGCTCTGTTTCAAAAGTGCTTTGAAGTGACCACAGACACTCGATTGACTCTAAAAGAGTTTTGGAAGGATCACTTTAATATCCTCAATTGTGTAAACCTTATAGGTAAGGCTTGGGAGGGAGTGACTAAGAGAACCTTGAACTCTGCTTGGAAGAAACTGTGGCCAGAATGTGTAGACAAAAGGGATTTGAAGGGTTTGAGGCTAACCCTGAGAGGAGTATACCAGTTGAGGAATCAATTGTGGAATTGGGGAAGTCCTTGGGGTTGGAGGTTAGTGGGGAGGATGTGGAAGAGTTGGTGGAGGAGGACAATGAAGAACTAACCACTGATGAGCTGATAGATCAACTTCAAGAGCAAGAGGCCAGACCTGGGGAAACTGGTTCAAAGGAGGGGAGAGAGAAATTGAAGGAATTGCCTACTTCAAAGATTAAGGAAATGTGTGCAAAATGGCTTGAAGTGCAAACCTTTTTTGATGAAAATCACCCTCACACAGCTATTGCAAGCCGTGCTGGTGACTGTTACAATGACAGTGTTGTGAACCACTTTAGACAAATCATAAAGGAACGAGAGGTACAGGCCACTATGGACAGATATGTTGTGCGAAAGAAGTCCAGTGACTCTGAAGCTGGTCCTAGTGGCATTAAAAGAAGAAGGGAAGTAACCCCAGAAAAGGACTTGCTACCTCAAGTCCTAATGGAAGGGGATTCCCCTTCTAAACACTAACACTCTCTCTCCCCTCCTCCCATCCCATCAATCATCACCAGATCTTCAATAAAAGTAAGTGTCATGTAATTGTGCATGCCTTTTTCAGTTTGTGTGTACTAAAATTAACATTTTTTTGTGGTAAAAAAATTTTTTTTTCATACTTTTGGGTGTCTTGCACGGATTAATTTTATTTCCATTATTTCTTATGGGGAAAATTAATTTGCATAGCGAACATTTCGCATAACGGCCAGCCCTCTTGCACGGATTAAGTTCGCTATGCGGGGGTCCACTGTATAGTGGACCCTCGCCTAACGAACGCATTGCATAACGTTAAATCTGCCTAACGAAGCATTTGAGTGTAAAAATTTTGGCCCGCTTAACGATAAAAAGCTCTCCCAACATGATTCCTGCCAAACCTGTCCATCCAGCCTGAGCGCCTCAGCTGCCTTGCTGTCACTGTTTACAGGCCAGGGTGGCCGGTTGCATGCATACATTCGATACATTTTGTATTATTCCATTGTTTATAGTGCTTGTAACTGCTAAATAAGCCACCATACGCCCAAACAAAGCTTCTAGTGCCAGCCCTGTGGTAAAAAGGGTGAGAAATACTATCATACCGCAGTCAGGTGTTGCTGCACCAGTCTGCTGCACCACTGTCAGCTGTTGCTGCACCATGGTCAGCTGCTGCTGCACCACAGTCAGCTGTTGCTGCACCACCATCAGCTGTTGCTGCACCACAGTCAGCTGTTGCTGGACCAGTCAGCTGTTGCTGCACCATGATCAGCTGCTGCTGCACTATGGCCAACTGCTGCTGCACCACAGTCAGCTGTTGCTGCACCACAGTCAGCTGCTTCTGCACCACGGTGAACTGCTGCTGCACCACAGTCAGCTGTTGCTGAACCACGGTGAGCTGCTCCTGCACCACGGTCAGCTGCTGGTGCACCACAGTCAGCTGCTGCTGCACCACTGTCAGCTGCTGCTGCACCACCGTCAGCTGTTTCTGATCAACATGACTCATCCCAAACCTGTCCATCCAGCACTGCCATCATTGTTTACAAGCCAGGGTGGCCGGTTGCAAGCATACATTCGATACATTTTGTATTATTCCATTGTTTATAGTGCTTGTAACTGCTAAATAAGCCACCATGAGCCCAAAGAAAGCTTCTAGTGCCAACCCTGTGGTAAAAAGGGTGAGAAATAATATCGTACCACAGTCAGCTGCTGCTGCACCACCGTCAGCTGTTGCTGGACCAGTCAGCTGTTGCTGCACCATGGTCAGCTGTTGCTGGATCAGTCAGCTGTTGCTGCACCACGGTCAGCTGTTGCTGGACCAGTCAGCTGTTGCTGGATCAGTCAGCTGTTGCTGCACCACAGTCAGCTGTTGCTGGACCAGTCAGCTGTTGCTGGACCAGTCAGCTGTTGCTGGATCAGTCAGCTGTTGCTGCACCACAGTCAGCTGTTGCTGGACCAGTCAGCTGTTGCTGGATCAGTCAGCTGTTGCTGCACCATGGTCAGCTGTTGCTGGACCAGTCAGCTGTTGCTGGATCAGTCAGCTGTTGCTGCACCACAGTCAGCTGTTGCTGGACCAGTCAGCTGTTGCTGGATCAGTCAGCTGTTGCTGCACCATGGTCAGCTGTTGCTGGATCAGTCAGCTGTTGCTGCACCATGGTCAGCTGTTGCTGGATCAGTCAGCTGCTGCTGCACCA